GAGATATGGGAGGCATGATCCAATTTACTCAAGTGGAATCTGAGAAACATTTTGTCAGAGGAGAGGTAGGAGAAGTGAGATCATAAGAGGGCGGCAGTAAACACCCAGTTAGGCATGAACAGGTTTGAGCTGGTGAGGATCAAAGTGTGCAGACAAGAGACACGAGACCTTGTGCTAGAGATGTGTGGCTTTCCTAGGCCTGGTCTCTAGTTCTCAGCCTGCTTGCAGCTATGCCCAATTTCTGGCTTAGGAAATGGTAACTCTTAAGAAGATAAAGAAGATACTGAAGCACTGTTTTCTTGAACAGAGCACAAAGTTTGTTTTAAGTCCTGAAGTAGGTCAATCTCTTCCTTCATCTGCTGCCATTTTTCTTCGAATTGCTGAATGTTAGTCTCTAATGCTGTGTATGATAAGAAATAAAATGATTTCAGGTTATTCAGAAGTTGTATAAAACAATATTATGATATCTAGGCCCTATTATTTGCAAGAGCATAGTACATGATGCTGTGCCCCAAGTGAAAAGAATCTAGGATCTTAAGAGGAGGAACTGATTCTTTTATGTTTGCTTCCTCTTCTAATTCAGGATAGAACTCTAGTATTTTATTTCACATAAAGCTGATCAGTAAATCTTTAAGGTTTTGTACATATTTGTAGCAGAAAAAGGCACTCTGTGTATCTTTGAAAACTCGAAAGCAGCCACTGTATAACCTTCATGCTACACTATATACATTTGTTGAGAGATGATTAGCGAGAGCATGTGATTATAATATCAAGGATCAGGGCAAGTCTTTCATAAAAATGCATCCAGTTTTTAATGTTAAAAGCTTTTGATTTTATTTAGAAATAGAAAGGCTTTTAATGTGGAAATTTAGGAACATTACTCAGAGGCAATGTCATTTTTAAAAAAAACTCAAAACTGAAGAATAGTAACACATAAACAATCTTAGAATACCTACATATCTGTAGTTAATGTTCTGGAACATTAGAAAGGCTATGTTAAGCCAAAGAATCTTTATTAGTTGGGTGTCAAAAGTTAAAGCCTTTTGCCCTGGCCAGGTAGCTCAATTGGTTAGAGTGTTGCCCAATGCACCAAGGTTGCGGGTTCGATCCCCAGTTAGGGCACATACTAGTACAAGAAGCAACCAATGAATGCATTAAGTGGAACAAGTTGATGTTTCTCTCTCTCGCTCTCTCTCTCTCTCTCTCTTTCTCTCTCAAATCAGTAATTTTTTTTAAAGTTAAGTCTTTTAAGTTGGTTCTCATGAGATTTCAAATAGTGTCTCCTCCTAGTGCCCCACCCCACAAATATTACACTATAACCTACATACTCCCACTCACCCACCCAAGTAGTGACCTGTGTCATGTTCCAAAGATGTAACCTTTTATACAAAAAAATAAACACAGTGAAAGTCCCCTACAAAATAAAGCTTTTTAGAAAAATATTTAAAAGGCTGCTTAAAAAACACACACAGATATTCCCATGAGCAGTCTACAGACATCCTCAAGAGACTGTTAAAAGATACTCTATTTTTGGTAGACGTTAAGAAATATTTTTTCTGCTGATTATAAATGTAATATAAAATTCAAATAGAAATATGTAATATGAAAACAAAATGAAAAGCTTGTGTATACTTAGACGGATATGAACTACCTGGTAATATTTTCTCCACAGGGAAAACCTATTGTCCTAATACCATTTGCTGGATAGACAAATATAACTTCAGAGAAGCCATTTGCAAAAAACTCTGTGTGACTCTGGTCTCCCCCCCACCCCCCGCCCCCCATACCGCCCCAAACACACACACTGGGATGTGCAGTGCACCCCTCCCAGTTGTGTGTGGCAGCCTTGGGGAGAAGTCAGATCAGACTCACAAGTGAAAATTTAGCCTTGTTTTGAAGGCACCTTAAACAACGGCAAAAGGACCTACTCAGTAAATGGTTGACATTTTACAGAACAGTTAAGTCTCTGCCCTCACAAGGCTTTTTTCTTTTTCAAAAATTTCTTAGCTATTCTTGTTCATTTTCTTTTTCTCATAAGCTTTACAGTTGATCTAAAGCTGGCCAGTGGATTTGCAGGTTAATGTTGGGAAAGTTAAAATATGTATACATCATACCGGTGAGAGGGAGACACAGGGCAGCTGGAGTTGTCACAGCCTGGCTGCCCGAGGGCAGAGGCCAA